GCTCAGACCGGTGCCGTCAGCTTCCGGGCGACGCAGGGCTCTTGGGCGCCTGAGGAAACCTTTTAGAGCCGGGGACGGGGCGCTTCCCTCGGCAGCCTCGCCTCTTGAGCGGCCGCGCGGAGGAGGAGGAGGGCGGCGGCCCTGTCGCCTTCTTCCTGAGGGCTCGGACTACACCTCCCATGAGCTCTTCTTGGCCAGGGGGCGGGCCGGGGCTGATGGGAGGGGGAGGTCCTGCCCCCTCCCTCCCTCCCTCCCCACCTGTCCTGGGGAAGCGCCGACCTCGGGGAGAGCTGGGGGGGCGGCTCTGGAGGCTGAGCGCGGCCCCGCGGCGGGGAAGGAGGGGGGCGGGGTTCCTACGGATCGGGTCCCGTTGGTAGAGGAGCCGAACACTCTGTGTGTGTGTGTGTGTGTGTGTGTGTGTGTTGGGGGGGCGCTTGCCAGGGGCTCATTGACTTTGGAGTTCCCCCTCCACCCCACCCGGGCCAAGGTGACCTCCCCTCCTCTGGCCTGCGCTCTCCCTTCCCTCGGGGTGTTTTTTTTCCCCCACCCTGGCTCAAGAAACTGCAGATTCTCCTTAGAGTGCCTTTATTTGCCCTTTGTTTCACAAGCCAGCTTCCGGAAAAGCAAAATAGTTACACAAAACCACAGACACACACACACATACAATATCTTTGAAAATAACCACCACAACTATTACAAGCAAGTAAATGGCCTGTTTGCTGGGACCTCGCTTTCAGACGTGCACGTACGCACTCCCCTGTCTCTCCCTGCCCCAAAATCAATCGGGTTTGGGAAAAACACAGACCTTGAGATTCAAGTCAATAATCACATGAATCGTGGGAGGTCTCATTCTGCTCTCTCTACGTGGCAGGCAGATTATGTAGTGTATTTATTTACTTACCTATTTGACTTTTTAAAATAATCAAATCCTGCCTCCTTTTTTTTTCTGGATGAGCTCAGGATTGGGTCCCCAGGACCCCACCAAGCAAGCTTAACTAGGGGTATGGGTGGATGACAGCTGGGCCCAAGACAGAATTTGCAGGATAACTTTTAAAATTTAATTGCAATTAAAAAGTCACACCCCTCTGAGTCATTACTTACTGCTATGCTTACCATTCTTTAAAAAGAAACATGCCTATTTATTAGAGTATTTAGTCACCCACCGCTAATGAGTTCATGGCAGCCTCCATACAGGACACTCTTCCCCACAGGGCATCATAGAGTCTGGGGAAAATAAGTATTTTTTCAGCCTGCTTCTCACAATTCTGGCACAAAACTGACGACTTCTTCCCACCACAACCCTGCGAGGTAGGACAGGCTGAGAAGCCATGACCCAGGATGGCTCCCGCCTGAGCTGGAATTAAAACCCGCCACCCCTCAGGTTCCAGGCGAACACCCTGGCCATCACACTGGGAGAGCTTCTAACTTGCCCGTCAATATCAAAAAAATAATCAAAATAGTTAATTCTGAAGCACAACAGTTACTTTGCAGGGGCTTCTCGGTTCAACAGCAGCTCTGAAATAATAGACACAAACTCTTCTTAGTTGCTTTGTGAGGCAACAACTCAGAAAAATTGCAAGGTCGGTTTGCTCTGCTTTGCTTTGCTTTTTTAACCGAAAAGCTTTTGTAACTTTTCTGTGGAAGTCATGCAGTCCTTTCTTCTTCGGTGACTGTCGAAACGTAGCGCAGAGATACCTTCTGTTACTGCCCGATGGAGCCAGCCTTCCTGGCTCTGTCTCAGCTCTGTCTCGAAGTCACCTTGGAGCCCTGCCTGAGAGGGGGGGGATTTGAACTCATGACTCCCTGTTTCTGGCAGGTGACACAAGCCACCCTTGCATTTTTACAGCCTGCCTTGATTGTGCCTGGGAATTTTTTGGCTGCAGCAGAACCGCACGGTTCCCCTTTGAGGAAACGGTGGGTCCATAGGCTGCAGAAAGAGGAAACTCTTGGGCAACTTGTCATGTAAAATAAAGGCAAGGAGCACAGGAAGGGGGAAAGGGTCTCGAAAAGGGACTCGGGAGGTGACAGTGAAAACTCTCGTCCAGGAGGACAAGGCCTGCAAAAATCCTTAGGATCAATTTCTCAAAATTGGACTGGGAAAGAACAACCGAATAACCAACCAACCCAGGCAGGGTGTATATCACAATCACAAACGCCCCGGCTAGCTCACTCCAGACCGAACTGCACATGATACGAATCATGTGGCTTCCCATTGAGTCCAACGAGAAGCCGGGTGAGTGGGGGTTCCTGTCGGCATCCGGGTCCTCCGCCGGGTTATTTTTAGCGATTGGTGGTGGCGCTGGTGGTGGGATGGTGCGCATCATGACGGTCACACAGGCGATCACAGCCTCAGAGGCATCCCCGGCCAAACAGAGGGGCCTTGCTTAAAATCCACACACACACACCCATGCTGTTGAAGGCAAGACGCAGACAGCGACGAAAGGCTGCTTCAAAGCCGGCCCTCCCACCTCACCACCTTCTGTGTTCTAAAATCTGATTTTTGTTCTATTTCTGGTTGATTAAAACTAGCAGCCGTTTCTACAGCAGAAGTATGGCGGGCGCCCTTCTCTGCCGTGCTGCACTGGTTATAAGCTCCACCAGTCCGCAAGTGTCAGGTGCTACACAGAGCTCTTCTGCTGGGGATTGTCTCTGTCTTGTGCAAGGGGCTCCGACACCTTCCTAGATTTTTTTGGCCTTCCAACGTTTCCCATCTCCCCATCACCACCAACAATATTAACCTCTAACCCTAACAGAGTTCTGTGGGATCTGAAAGTTCACCTCATTTGTCACTTGGGGTGAACTGATAAAGTCCTTTTGCAGTCCAGACTTTTATTCCCAGTGAGCTTTGCGTGTTTCTGTGTGTTTGTGTGTTTTGCAGGGGTGGGGGAGCAGTTTTCTCATTCATTTGGCGCTTAGTGACATCTTGTGGTGCAGGACGCAATGACAGCAGAGACCGCTTCCTGAGATGTTGCAGAATGCAGTGGAATTCCCAAGGCTGCAGCTGCTGCCTTTTTAAAAGAAGCAACATCCTTCCTGAGGCGTCCTAAGCCTCTCTATCCAGACAGGCGGGACGTTCCACAGGTAATGCTGTTGCTGGCACAGAGAGTTCCTTTCCCTAACCTGGCATGTTCTCATTTTCAGGTTTTCGGCCTCCGAACCCTGGTTTCAGAGCCTGCTGCTGGTGTCCATCTCGGTGGCAAACGCACATGGAGCAGAACAGACCCTAAGGGGAAGGGGAAGATGCCGGCCAGCATGTGAGGGAGGACGAGGTGAGCCCAGTTTCATGCCATTTGTGTATGTGTGTGTGTGTGTGTGAAAGAGAGAGAGAAAGAATCTGGTTTTTAGTCCGAGCTTCAAAGGAGAGCCGTCCAAGGTACTCTGCCGCCTGAGATGCCCCCAGCATTCCCTCCCGTGCTGTCCACAGGAAACTTCCCCATCCACCCCATCAGTGCGAGCAGCCAAAACAGAGATAGAGACATTGCTGCGGGCGACTCGAGTGAGTGAGCTACGCTGCGTGCACCGAAAGGTATGGGGAACCTCCCTGCATGTATGTTTTTTTGTTCTAGTCCATAAGAGTGCTCAGCCGACTGCTGCGTTTCCTTCCAAAGTAACCATCCGGGGGGGGACCCCCATTTTGCCACAGTGTGGGGCAGTTACATCCCCGAGGAGACAAACTGCATCTCGGTGTCAGCGAGGGCCTTCCTGGCAGGGCCCGAGGCCCCCACCCGCCGCTTGAAGGCCGACGGGAAGACTTTCTGGAAGGCCTTCCGGAAGTTGGTACCCATGAAGGCATAGACGATGGGGTTGACGCAGGAGTTGGCGTAGGACATGCAGTGGGCCCAGGTCTTCACCTTGTAGGCAGAGTAGCTGTGTGGGAGCCCCGATCCAAAGGCCTGGAGGAGGAGGAGAAACTGCACGGGGCCCCAGCAGACCGCAAAGAGGGCCACCACCAAAGCCACCATCCGGGAGATCCTGGCCCGTGTGGCCGCCGAGCGCTCGGCCAGCGGCTGCACCTGGGGAGGGAAGGGCAAAGGCAGAGGTCAGGAGCGCCCCGATTCCCTTGAGAGGGGACCCCAAGCTTAGGCTTCAGGGCAGGAGGGGGTGTGCGTTCCGTAACTGTCCAAACCTCCACCAATTCAGCTCTTTTTCTGACTCCACGTGGAAATTAGCTCAGCACCAAGAGAAGCACAGTCCAGTTACAAAGGAGGGCCCTCTGCAGCTTCCTCATTTTGGCCTTTTATTTTCCCCCTCAGCAGACCTGGTGCTCCTCCCTCGACTCGCCCAAATGTGCGTATAAAGGCTTGGCCGTTGAGGGAGACGCTCTGTGGGTTCGATGGAAATGGGGCGCAGGCCAAGAAACTCTCTCCAGACTGGCTGGTTTCCAAGGGTGTGAGAAGGTTTTCCCTTTCCTTCCCCTCAACTGTGGGCATAGCTCCCCCTAGCGCACCCCCCCATGCCTGGTTTCCCCACTGTGTCTCAGAGAGGCGCATATGCAGGAGCGTGCGGTACCTGGCAGGGGTGGTTGGCTGGCTCGATGGCCGGGCGCCCCATCTGGTGGATCATGGCGGCATAGCAGAGGAGGAGGGTGAGCAAAGGGAAGAGGTAAACGGCCAGGAAGTTGTAGAGGATGAAGGCCTGCTGGTGGTGGATGGAAGGGAAGGACTCGCTGCAGTAGGTCTGGGGGCCAAACCAGTAGCCTTCCGTCAGCTGGTTGTACATCAGCACTGGGATGGAGACCAGAAAGGACCCTCCAGGTGCAAGGTAGGCAGAGAGAGAGAGAGACCGGGAGTGAGTAAGGGGACTTCCCAAATCCACCTTGACTTTACAGTAGGATCCCCATATCTGCAAGGGATCGGTTCAAAGTCGTCGTCCCCCACCCTGCAGATGCTGGGGGGGAAAAGTGTATCGTCTAGCAAATGCTATTTTCATGGATGTGCAAGCCAGGTGTTCCCCACCAGGGAAGGGCAAAGTCTGCTGGTTTTCTTCCTGCCGCCGCCACCACCGCCACCATCACGTGTGACATCTTTAAACCTCGAATTCTTCAGAAACCAACAGACAGGCCAGCCTCTCAGCCTGCAATAGCCCTAATCCTGCCCCACCAACGCAGGTCCGTCTGCAAGGATGGAAAGGCAGACCTCCAAGGGGGGAAGCCCTCCAAACTCTGCGAGAGTGGAAGGCTTGATCTGGCAGCTTTTCCTCCCCCCCCCCCCGAAATGTGGGGAAACTTTCCAGACTTTGGTAACGTCCTCCTATCCTGAAAAGGTGCTGGAATAAGTTCTCCTCCGTCCTTAAATGCAGGCCTCGGGGCTACTCACCCACCCAGGTGCCCAGGCTGATGGCCGCGGCGACACGCGGGGTGCGCTGCCTCAGGGCTCGGAGCGGGAACACCGTCACGTACCACCGGTCCACGCTCAAGGCCGTCAGGGTGATGCACGTGGCTTGCACGGAGACCTGCCGGGCCAGATGGAAATAGCGCTGGGTCAGATCTGTGGCTGCCTCAGTTTTCCAAAGGTCCGAGAGAGACACCCAGCCTCGGCTGGATGTAGCCTTTTTAGTCGTTCTCCCCCATAAAGCTGAATTAATGATCAGCTTGTTATGGGCAAGAAGCCACATCTCTGTGTGAGTCCCTGTTCTCGGCGTGACTAAATTGGGCTGCCTCTAAATGCAACAGGAGCCTTGATAACTCAGCCTGTGTATGTCGGACTGCAACTCCCATCATCCTCTGCCAGAGATCCAGCACCTTACATGATTTGCAACCTCCCAGTCCAGCTGCAGCAGCATAAGGTGATGCATGCACACATACAGGGTTGCCAGTATTGGCACACGCTCGGCCACATGCACTCGGCTGTAGATGGGGAGTCATGCAGCCTTCGATTCCCAAGCCCCTCCCTCTTGCAAAGGCTGAAAAACCCAGATAATAGCGATGGTTATACATCACATGGCCTCTGGCTCCCTTTAAGGGCCAGTTCTGGTAACTTCTTTACTAATATATATTTATGGGATTTTTCTTTTAATATTTTAAATATTTTTAGACCACGGATAAGTGGTTCAGCTGATACTGATCTCGTGGCTATGGGGATTCAACTTTATCTTATTTTATGAGCAGTGCAGAATCTCCTGCCTGTTGCCTAAAACAACAGATCCATGACCAAACTAAGCCTGAAGTTTACAGAGAAAGCAGTGCATCATCTTAATCGTTACAGAAGTAAATAAGTAAATATTTTAAATGGGGATTTATACTCATCCAGCGCACCTGCAGCTTGTGGAATAAAAGCAAAGCGCGTTGCCAGATTGGGCGGAAGGAAAAAATGTATTCCTTGCCAGTGGGAACCAACAGGCCAAGAGAAAGGCCTCTTCCAAACCAGGTGCTGAGGATCAGCCTCACCTGTTGGACGTAGTTGACCAGCTTACACATGACCTCACCAAAGATCCAGCCGGGAAGCGGATACAGCGCAGCCGTGAAGGGGACACAGACCACCAGGAAGATGATGTCCGTGGCGGCCAGGTTGGCTGTGTTGAGCAAAGAGCGCCGGTCAGTCCTGCATTCCCTTCTCCTGCCCTTTTGAGGTGGGGTGGGGGCTTTAAAGGAAGGGGAAAGGGGGTGCAAATTATCCTGGGACCCCTGTCTCCACCTGGGCCCTTGGGCACGGTCCTCCTGCTTCCCGGAGCAGAGATGGATGGAGCGAAAGAGCCCAGCTCCGTCAACCACGGACCCCTCCCCACCTGCCTGGGTTCCTTCTCTGCTCTTCTTCAATTAGCCCCCCCTCTCCATTTCCCACAGTCATTCCCATGACTGGGAAAGCCAAAGTCTGGAGGCCGGCCTGAGCATCCACCTTGGCCACTGTGCTCCCCCCCTCGAGAGAGCCCCCACTTCCCCCTGCGCCCTCGGCCCACCTCTCACCAATGTAGAAGTTGGTCACGGTCCTCATCGGCTTGTGTTTGGTGACCACGTAGACCACCAGCACGTTGCCGACCAGCCCCACCACCATCAGCAGCACGAAGAACAGGGGCACCAGCCAGGCATCTACCAGGAGCGGCGGGCCTGGGGGCCTTGAGGGATTGCCGCACAACAGCCCAGCTGGGCAGGCCGAACCGTTGAGGAAGAAGAGGGAGGACCCGTTGGATTTAGAGCCCCATAACAAGGTCTCGCTCGTGTTCTGGAGCAGTCTACGCACGTGCTTCTCGGTGTTATTTGCCCCCTGAACCTCTCGTGAGAAGAGCGGCATCAGGGCTATGGCCAGCATCCTCTTTCAGACCGGTCCTGAGAGGGCTGGGGTAGGATGCAGACGTTCCGTGGCAAAAGCTCTCAGGACCTCGGACAGCTCCCAGCAAACAGAGAGGTGACTCCGGATGCCTTTACCGTCGGGTGCCTCTCAGACCGCCAAGGGTTGCCACACAATGCCAGGGGAGTCGTAAATCGAGGGGGCCCGTTGCCCAGATTGCCCCCCCTCCCTGGGATACCTGCAGAGCAAACCACCTGGGGTGGGAGGGAGGGAGTTGACTCCACTGGGACTCCCTCACCTGAGCGGCCTTTCCTGGTGGAGTTGAGCAGCTCTCCGTTTGGCTTTGCTCTGTCTTTCGGTGCCTGTCTCTTCTCCGCCCCACCTCCCTCCCGGAGAAACCTCCTGGCACACCTCTGCTCCCGGAGGGCACACTCCTCGCCTCCTTCGGATTTAAAGTCCGCCTGGTGCGTCCGCCCTTCCGCAAGGCAAAAGGACAAAGAAGCTCACACTCCGAATGTCCCTAAAAAATCCTTCAGGATTGAAAAGCCAGGCTTCGGACCCAAAACAAGTGACAGAAGAAAAGATACTGGCAGCCGGTTGTGAGAGAAGAAGGACCTTATTTATTCCAGGGCGAAGGTTCCCAGATGTTTCCTGATACCCTTGGACTTGGGGCATCAGCCAGGCTATTGGCGGCCACGGCTCTGGGCAGAAAGAGCCGAGAGCTGCAGAATCTGGCCGAGAAGGGCCGAGGGGCGCAGACGGGGAGGGCAGAGACAGCTCCGATTGCCTACCTTTCAGAGAGAGAAATGTTGGGAGAATTTGCTTGCTTCTAAGCAACCCTGTTTGGCAAGCTGTGAAGGAGCAGCCAGCTAGCCAGCTGACTGGGTGACAGGGGGGGGAGAAGGAAAAAGGGGTGGCCCTGAAAATGCTGGAGAAAAACATAGCCAGAGAAGGGCAGAAAGGAAGCCCCCCCGGGGGGATTGGCTTTGCTCCCCTTCCTGCTCCTGTGGACTGTCTTGGGTTGAGAGCTTTTTAAAAGGAGAATAAAAGAAACCTGGCCTCTCTCGTGGAGCCCAGAGGGCAAGCTGGCCACCAAAGGTGAGTCGGCGGCTGACTTTCTGCCCCGAACAATAAAACTCTGCTTTGTTCAACGGCCCTCTGGGGTCCTTTCAGAGACCCCGGAGGAAACGGGAGCTCTCCATGGGGCTAGGTCATCTCTAGCCACTGGGCACAACCAGGGTGGTGGTTCATGGTTATTGTAGTCCCAGGCACCTCGAAGGCTGCAGCCCAGGCTTCATTTTGTCAAGTCTGATGGAGGCCACCCACACGAGGGCCACTTTTCCCAGGCCACATTGGGGGCTGTTATTGCCGTCGTTCGCTCCTTGTCCTTCGTTACATTGAACAGTTTTGCCATAATGACCAGAGTCGTCAGCCACCGTGAGGCCGAGATGAGGGACCTGAGAGGCCTGTTTGGATCAGCTCTCTCTGCAGAGCCCGAGACCCGATTCCTGATGCATTCAGCAACCCACCCACCACCCACCCCCGTGTCCAAGGGCAGGCGCTTCTGTGTTTTGTTGCGCTGTTGGCTACAGAAGGGACGTGTGTCTCCAGACCGGGAAGGACACGGAGAGGTGGCCGGGGCCAGGAGGTCTCTGTGGGCACTCTGGACGCACATCCCTGCTTTGCTTCGCGGCTGAGTTTGTCAGCGCAGATACTGGCGGAGGAGCACTGAGGTGCCTTTGCAGCCAGGCTGAACAGAGTAGAACAGAAACCGCCGGGGGGGGGGGTTCTCTTCCATTGCAATTCGGAAGGTTTCAGCCTCCCCTGCATGGAGGATGGAGGGGCTCAATTCAGAGGCAGCAAGCACCGGGGCTTGAAACAGAGAGCTGGGCCGGACCTCCCAGTAAGGCGTGGGCTGCAGGATTTGTTCCTGGCTGGACTTGAGGGGTCCTTTGTACACTTCCTGGGTGGTACAAAGTCCAGATGGTTGAGAGACACGTCCATTTGGTGCTTCAGCTGGGTCCTGCGGGACCTTCAGTCTCTCCCACCCGGTTGAAATCAGGGCTCCAGAAACCCTTCCCAGAGGGAATCCAGCTAGACCACCTTCCTCACCCCTCATGAGCCAACGGACTGCTTTCATTTCCTTTCATTTCCTTCCTGCCACTCCCCCCCCCAATCCATGAAAACTGGGAACGGCCACCAGAATGTACTGGAGAGGAATGGATACAAGCTCGCAAGTTTGTCATGTTAAAACACAAACAAATGAGAACCATGAGATGTTTTTGGACCTCACTGATGCCAGAATAAAAGGAGGCAGTAATGTGAAGGAAAGCACCTACTTTGGAATCAATTAGCCTTTAAATGACAAACAGCCCAATAAACAAAATAGACAAATAAGCCCATTAATAAAAACACACCTGGCCCAATTCGGAGCAAGGGAAATTAAGAGACATACTGCTGTTGCCTCTGTGTGTTTGCACCGCATGTTTCAGGCCATTCTTGCTCTGATGATGCATGCAATTTGTGGGACTAAAATTTGAATTGCTATTTCTACGTATGGTTGCCAGCCAATGTTTTCTACATTCTGTTCCAACCATCTAAAGTAAACCCAGGATGGATAGATTTTAGCCTTGTGAGGTTTGTGACTGTTTTCTTAATAATTATGGGAATTCAGAGTTGGGTTAGCAGGAAACCCACAGCTGAGGGTGGTGGTTCAGCACTAGAATGATAAACTGATAATGGCAAGAGTTTTCCTAAGCATCTGCAGAACACCTCATTTTTCCATCTTGCATCTGCAGCCAGCTGCCAGTGTAGGAGCAGCCATCAACACAATCACCCCACTTTGCAGGTGTTATTCGGATAAGGAGCCAAAGCAGGTTTTAAATAATGGAGCGTCGATCTTAGCCTGTTCAGGATCCCAATTTCAGCTGGCACCAGAACAACGGAGCGCCATCTTTCTCAAAAGGCTGAAATTTGAAGGCAAGTAGCAAGCAAAAGGTTTTGAGTAAAGCATTCGAAGTACGCTCACTTCCTGCTTAGCAGCACGAGCCAGTCTCTCTTGAGACAGGACAGATCTGAACCATTTTGCAGAAGGCAGGCCAGGGTGGGCAAATTCCCCATAATGGCTCCTTCACCTTTTCCACCACCCTACCGGGTTGTGTGGTTTTTTTTTGTTTCTGTTTTGTTCTGCTCAGGAGCCTTCTTGCTTAGCTGATCTGATTAAAAGGCGTTGAGGAGCCGAGCATCTCCTTCGGAGGGAAGGAAGCGAAAACAGCAGTGCCAATTTTGAACATCAAAGAGAGAATCCAGCTGCTCTGCAGTTCGTAGCATCTGCCAGGGAACACCTTCCCTCTCAATCAAGTGCAATGAATTTGAACAGCCCAAGAAGAACTGTGTTTATAACACAAGGAGGAAACAACAACTGTTAAAAGCAGCAATATTTATTTACATGGAAACACCTTATATAACATCTTTGGTGGTGTTTTCTTGCCATAAAATCAAACCTGGGGAACATTTATTTATACATTCTTTGGAAGCAGGCAATTAGGGTGGTACAATATATGAATACTGATTCTTGTTACCCTCTCCATTCTTCTTGAGATAAAAATTTAGCACAACAGACAGAATGCTAGGTGGAAACCTCCTGAGAGATTAGATTTCTGCATGAAGTGGCTTTGTTTTCCCATACAGGGCTGCTTTCTACTCTGCAACTGCACCCCACAGCAATTGAGGCGTTCCGTTCCCAGAAAAGATGGATAATTTACTTAAAACAAGACTTGGTTTATATAAAAACCTGGCAGTCTTATGAAGTCTGTTTTTTTTAAAACCATCTTTTACTCAACGGGTTTACATCAAAGGGAGAAAAAAAAGGGTAAGGAAGANTTGGTTCCCCCCCCCCCCCACAAAAACTGAAAAGCAAAATCATATATAAATGGTTTCCAAATCACGACATATTGTTAAACCTGCACAACTGCAATTAGCAGAATATTGATAAATGGATGGTGTGAATGCAACACAGAAAACACAAACCTCTGGCTGATTACATTTGTGCGCATGCAAAGAAAACCCAGAGATCAGCAAACTCTGAAGAACCAACTGATTTCATGGAGCAGAAAAACACCCCCCTCCCCATAAAGCTGACACACTCTGGTGACCGATCAAGAAAAACAGACAAAAATGTTTTATCCACAATGCATCTCATATTTGATTTTCGCTTTAAAAGGTGAGACTTTTTAATCAACCACTGAAAATGGAGAACCAGACCCCCAAAGCCACAGCACAATAAACAAAAGCAAAAAATACATTTGAGCTTCCTCGTAAAGGACGTACAAACCGAGAGATGACCGTCACAGCTCCTCTACAGTTCTGTATTGCTTCTTCTTTAAAGGCCTAGTAAGGCTCACTGCAGATGTGCCTGTCGTGTCTGTGATCGAGTTAATGCCCAAACAAAAGACACATGCAGAAATGGTGGCTCACATCCGCGAGACTTCAGACACAACATCGTTTCTGAAACGTGCACCCACATCTTTCCAAAGGGAAAGGGCAGAGAAGCACACAAGGGAAGTGAATTTTATTTTGTGCATTACCCTGAAGTTTTTCTCTCTGGGAAGTGAAAGGAACAATTCCCAGCAGAGAAGAATTTCCATCTAGATGTAATCAACCATTAAAAAAGAAAAGAAAAACAGCAACCAGAAAATCCTAGCTGCCATCTTTCAAAAGATCTGCATCCCGAGATCTATTTATAAACCTCACCAGCCGTCACCTCCATTTTATTAAATATTTTCTTAGGGAAGCTGATGACGAAGCAAAACAAATTTCCAGCTAGAAACTGTCTCTGAATTTCTTTTTTCTAGCCTCGCATCTTGTATGGACTTCTTCCACATCACAGCAAAATATAGGATGGCACTTTATGGCACAATAATA